TCACGAATTCGGATGCATCCGGAATCTGCCAAGACACGAAAACTTTGTTACCAGACAAAATCTGCATGTTTACACTTCTAGACACGTCACCAAAATAATCACTGAGGACAGTGACGAAGAAGACGGAAAAGGAATCAAAATCTGTGGAGTTGAAGTGAGTTTCCGTGACTGCGTTAGACTTTCAATTCTAATGACCATGAAATGAAGTATGTTCAACCTGGAGATGCTACCAAATATATAGCAAAAGCCAAGAAAGAGGTTATTATTTCTGCTGGGACCCTTCACACTCCGCAGATATTACAACTCTCGGGTTTGTTTCTCTTCCACTCCTCCGTAAGTCTCTCCGACCTGATACCTATTTTTAGGAATCGGACAAAAGAGTCTCCTGGAGAAACTTGGTATCCCAGTATTAATAGATTTGCCTGGCGTGTAAGCTGCTCCGCACTTTAGTGCTAGGTTCAGAGTATGCTGAAAACAGACCGAGCGCCCAGCGGACAGAACCTCCAGGATCACCCATGTGAGTCCAACTTCTTATTAGTCAAACGAAATATCCCAAGAGTTCTATCCCGCGCTGTGCTCTGGCGCACTTGATGCGCACAGGGATTCTGGCACCCCACTGTGGTGCCTTGAGACTACCCCAAAGTATGACTACTAGCTCTCTGGCTGACATATGATGGGCTAGAGCAGTTGGTACTATGTCTCTAAAGCGTAAGTACCCAGTATTCCTCTCCACAATTGAGCGTAATTCCAATCGAAAGTAAGCAGTGGACAACGTTGAACACTCAGTTATTGATCTCGAGAAAAATGCAACTTGGGATGCGGAGTCTAAAGATCTCTTCTATAAAGCCCGTGAAGGTTAGTCTCCCTCCGACCACAATACTTGGATCAACTTTAACAAAACAATCCAGGCCCATGGACAGCCGGAAGCCCCAACTCAGTAGCTTTCCTCCCCCTGTCCACCTACACCAACCAATCCGAGACCCTGCTAGGCGCCTACACAACCCAAGCGCCAGGCCAGTACCTCCGCAATGATTACGACCCAGTGATAACAGCCAGTTTTCAAAAACACCGCCAAATCCTCCTAAACAGGCTCGCGGGCACGCACACAGCTGCAATGGAGTATATGTGGCTCAGCGGTGCCAACCGGTTCTTCCAAATGCCCTTCTCCATCTCCATCACTCACCCCTTCAGCCGTGGCTTCATAGAAATCAACTCGACGGATCCCCTTGCCGCCCCGATCGTGGACCTGCGCACGGGGAGCAACCCAGTCGATCTCAACCTCTTCATTGAAGCGTTCCGTTTCTGCCGCCGCGTTGTGCAGACTCGAGCGATTCAGGAACTCGTTCCGACCGAGTTGACTCCCGGGCCGTCGCTGCAGACGGACGAGGAGCTGCGCAGATTTACGAGGGATAGCCTCTCCACGATGTTCCATCCGAGCGGGACTTCCGCCATGCAGCCAAGGGAGATTGGAGGCGTAGTGGACCACAATTTGATTGTTTATGGAACCGAGAATTTGAGGGTCGTGGATGCGAGTATCATTCCGTTGATCCCTGGAACGCACATTGTGTCTACGGTCTATGCGATCGGTGAGAAGGTAAACTACCCTCCCCCTCACGTTTTTGTTTTTCCAGGAATGAAGCACGCTAATGGATTAAATCCAATGGTGTATAGGCAGCGGATATTATTAAGGCGGCCTGTAAGGAATAAGTGACTGATCTCAGTATCATGTATGTGTGATCGGCTTTCCAGAGTAGGAGAGAGCAATATATTATGTCAAGCTCTCTTGTTACAGTACTCTATTTAAAAGGACCTAAGTTATGGGTCGCCCATTACGGGAGAGGACACTTCCTCAGCCCAAAGAATGATCGGTAGTGACTGCGAGGAGCCATAGACGGCCGGAGGTAATTAGCAATGGCCGCGGAGGCCGGTGAGAGGATACCGTTCCGGAAGAGCAGAGTAGGCTATATTGCCATCTCTTGGATATCGCCTCCGCAAATGGGAATGAATGCCTGTACCCAGCGTTGCCCAACGGTTCTTTCAAGAGGTCCGGAAAGCGGTCCTCTGGACCTCCTAGCTTGGCGCTTAGGTTTGCCGCTTGGAGTTGAACTACCGGTACTCTAAACAACTGTATACCCACTCGAACACCCCCAATCACGACACTCACAGCAGTGTAAGCGGGCTGCTTGGGCCCGGTCCCACCGAACAGGGGAAAGTATGATAAACTTAACAGTGGGTTCGCTTTCACGGGCTGTCATCTGAGTCTCTTCGTCACCTGATATTTTCTCCCTTCTCTCCTCACTCCAGGGCTAGGGTACCGGCAAGGTTGACACTATCACTAAACTCCGCAGTGCCTCAAATAATTACTTGTAAACCATGTATCAGCTAGGTAGCATAGTCCAAAATTTCATTTTCCGGAAATGAGGCGAATGACATAGCAGAAACTTCCTGAAAGCGAGCTGCTTAGCCTCTCAAAAAGAAAAAAGAAAAAAACACCAGACCTTATGGTCCGGGCAGCCCAAAAGGTGCACTAGGGTGAAGAAAAAGTGTTGCATGTGGCCCCAGGAGTTCGGTTGCTTAGATGGAATTTTGAGGGCAAGAAAGGGCAAGATAAAAAGGGTTGCTACCATAACAGATCTTGAGGAAGGTTAAAAATAAATAAATAAATACAGCCATTCGTCAGAAGTGTTCGTGAAATGCTTAGTAAGCTAAGTCGCCAAAAAAAAAAAAGGCCACATTGCAGTGACCTCAACTGTGATTGTGACGGCAGCTATGAAAGCCACTGTGTAACCTACTTCCAAGTATCTCGAGAATCTCAAAGAGATTTCCAGACACTATTAGAATAGGAGGGAAAGAGTCTATGGAATTCTTCCTTAATAGTAGCAGAGCTGAGGGAAATGTAAAGTGATCATTCAACTTGTAGTATATTCAGAAGAGCATTCCTGTGAAGCTTAAGAGACTAAATCCTTCTGGGATTGTAGTCTCTTTAAATACAAAAGATTTTAACTAGGAAACATAATGATATTAACATATTCAAGAAGAACATTCAACAGTACTGTAACGATCCCCCTTCGGATGGTTATTTCTTGGCAACAGGGAATGATATGTCTCTTCTTTTTTCTTCTTCTCACCTTACGATAGCACTAGGTCTCTTCCTATATTACCGATAGTACAAGACCTTTATCTTCTATCGGGAACACCTATCGTAAGCTTTCTCTAAATCTCCTTATTGAAGAGTATTCTTATCGTAGTAACAATAAAGATGGTGATAATGATAATAAGCATAAAGGTGTTTTATATTCATTAAAGTAATAAATAGGAAAGGTACTTAGAACAAAACGTGAAGAACCTATCCTCCTCGGCCATACCAGCCTCCTTATATAGTATTCTTCCTGCCTCAAGTCATGTGACCCAAAGTGGTCACATGTGCGAAACCAAATCATAATGAACTAATCATATGTCCAAAGTAGTCACATGTGCAAAACCCATGACCTTGTAGCAAGGTTATATGCAAAAACTCATAAACCAATCATAACATAATAAACAAGTCATCTGACTCAAAGTGGTCACATGCGCGAAACCCATGACCTCATAACGAGATTATATACGAAACATAAATTGTATGTGCAAGGCATACCCATAAGGCATACTAGCAAGGCACACTCACCAGGCATACGTCCCATGACTTATGATCGAGTCAGGTGTGAAATATAACAAATCATAACGTAAACAGGTCATATAACTAAAGTGGTCATATGCATGAAATAATATCATACCAATGACTCATAATCATGAGTCATGTGAAAACCCTTTCTATGCCAAGCCACGTTTGTGATATTAGCCCCTCTCCTTCTAAGCCTGAGTCCCATCAGGCTGTTTCTCCAAGCTTTAATAGTTCTCGTCCAGCTGTGTGTATGGACCTCTGAAGCCTATTGAACTTGTTATCCACTGTTCTCCACCTTATCCTCACCAATTTCAGTGCGAGGTTTGCCATCTCGATCATGTACCTCTGATTGTCATTCAGCTGTCTTAGCTGCCTGATTGTTTTTTCGTTTGCTGAAGTTGTAGCTTTGGCTCTGCTAAGTTGTTTCTAGAGTCTTCTGATCTGCCTGTATAGGCTTCCAAGGTCCGGCTCCATTTCGGTTGAGGAGCTTTGGGCTCCTCTCTTCCTGGGCCTCGTCCTCGAGGCCCTACACTACATACCGGTATCTTCTCCTTCCAACTCTTTCTTTGTTCCATCCTTTTGTGGGTAGTACCCGGCAGTAAGTTTCTTCATCCTGTGCATCTTACACTTGTTGTTGAAGAACTATTTCCAGTGCTTTAGGGCATGGTCTGGGTGCAGACCAAGCTTTCATTATTCTCTCTGGAACTATTATGAGCCTTCCTTGTCCCCATAGTGTGTGGGACATCTATCATCATAGTATACTGTCCAACTCATTGTATTGTGCTTTGCTTTCTCCTCTTATTCCATAAGCTTTTTGTCTGTTGGCTCCATAAACGAGTATTCAGAGCTTATTGGTATGATGTGTCGGAGGCTATTGCCCCATCCATTGTATAGTTGCCAGGGCTCAAAAGTATTTCCTTTGTCTTGGTCATTGAATGTGATTATCAACTGGGCTGTGCTTGCCTGAGTATTGCTGGTGGAAGGTTGATAGGGCATTTTGTGCTTTTTCAAAGTTGAGTGAGTAATACCAAGCTTTTTCCTATTCAGGTAAATAACCAGTCTACTTGGCTCTGTAATAGAGGTGACCGTGGAAGAAGCAGGAATCAATTATTTTATTAAGTTCATATTCTGATTCTCCATCAAGTTCGATCATACGAGGAGGAATAATCATTTGTAAGGGAATCTTGTTGTCGTTATGTAGTATGAGGAGTAAGATGTGAAATATATTGTGTATTCGCATTGCAGGACGAAGATCAAGCTTATAAGCTCAGTCGCCCACTTTTTCCAGTATCTGAAACGGTTTGATTTTCTTGTAGTCCACTTTGTTTAATCGCTACATCATATGAATAATGTGTAGTAGCAACCATACCATATCTCTAGGCTGTATCTTCAGATTGGGCCTCTGGTATTTATCGTATTATTCTTTCTGCTGTTCTTGTGCTTGATTTATTTTATATCGTAACATTTCATGTAGTTTTTCTATATTTCTTTTGTCCATTATCATCCCATGAATCATATGATTTGTGGCCTGACTCTGTAGATGTTGCCCATAATTTGCAAAGAATGGTGTCATGTCTATCCTTTCTTGCTTTCCATTGTTGTATGTGAACTAGCCATTGATAACAGCTTATAACTATAGTCTTGCTGATAATTGAAGTAGGCCCGTAAAGATTGCTCAAGTATTGCATTTACCCATTCCATTTGTCTGTTAGTCTGCAGGTAAAATGTGGTGCTTAGCTGATTTTGTATCTCCATTTTTCTGGTTACTTTTTTCCATAATCCTGATGTGAATAGTGTTCCTTGACCTGTAATGATATTCTTCAGAAGCCTGTGCAGTCGGAAAACCTCTTGGAAAAATGTCCATATGAAATCTGGTATATCCATATTGTTTTTGAATAGAACGAAATGACTCATTTTGGTCAGGCGATTTACCACGACCAGGATGCTATAATATCCTGCCAATAGCGGTAGGTCTGTGATGAAATCTATAGTAATTATTTCGCAAGGTAATTCAGGAATCTCATTTGATTCCAGTAATCCATAAGGTATGTGATCAGCCATTTTCATTGGTTGATATATGTTGTAATTTTTGAAATATCTTTTGACATCCTCGTGCAATCCTGACCAGTAGAATGACCTCATAATTAATTCTGTAGTTTTAGTGGTTTCTCTATATCCTGCTATCAGAATATTGTGATGTTGTCATATGATACTCATTCTTATCTTTTCTTCCTCCGCCATCTCCAGTTTTCCATCATACCACCTGTTTCTATCCCTCTAGTAGCATAAACCCAGGGTAATAGCTTTTATCTTCTTTCTTTCTTCAACACTTTTCTTATTGCCTGAATTATTTTGTCTTCTTCGTTTGCCTTCTCAATTTCTTTTTCCATAGTTGATATGAATTTGATAACTTCCTTTGCCTCAAAGTAACCTTTTGGTAGTAGTGTTTATGTTTTCTGTTTAATCCTTTTATCCTCTTTTGTTTGTGGTTTGTTGCTTGCGACTCTTGTGAAAGCATCTGACTTTTCGCTCTCTTTTCCTGGCCAATATTTGATCTTGAAGTTGTATTTGCTGAGGTATTCTATCCATTTTATCTGGCGATCATTCAATTCCTTCGTGATCGTGAACAAGACTCTTGTGATTGGTGAGGCCTCAGACTGGGTGGTCATTCTGTAGGACATATCTCCTCCATTTTTTCACTGCGTGAACTATTGCTAATATTTTCTTATTGATAACATGGTAGTTGTATTCCACAGGATTCATTGTCTTGGATTGATATGACACTAGCCTCTATTTTCCATCTTCACATTATTGTAATAATATACCAAAGCATATATATTTCGAGGTATCTGTTTTGATTATTTTCTTTCGGTTTGGGTTGAAATAGATCAATTGTAACAATCCCTCCTCATGATCGTTAGTTCTTGGCGACGGGGAACGATACTTCTCTTTCTGTCTTCTTCTTTCTTTGTCTTATGATAGCTCTAGGCCTCTGCCTACATTACCGATAATACAAGACCTTTGTCTTCTATCGGGAACGCCTATC